TCATATTGAGTAAAAATCAAGCTATGGAATAGTAAGACCAAACCCTTAGGTAAAGAGGTCAATGCAATTTGCTTTCATTTAACTCAATTAAGCGTCAGATTAACAAAATACTTCCTTTCAAATTAAAGATGCAAATGCAATTTGTTTCTATTTAACTCAAGTAAACACCAAATTAATACAACAAAAGTAATTAAACTTTTTGTCAAATCTAACTAACATACATAAAATAAACAAAGTTCACTCTCTTTTCACAAGTACAACAATAACATGGGAGTTTTAAAAAATAAAAAGAAAAAATAAGGCATTAAACTAAATCTTGACTATATACTCCGATAAATTTTCATTTTAAAGATCTTAATACTTAAATAATTCTTTTGTAATGACAAAAGAACATTAAAGATTAAAAACAAACACACATGGCCAACATATGAAAGACATATTTGAATAATCTAATCATTCTTTTCGTACATTCTTTTAATATATAAATTGATATACATTGTGGTTAACCCTAAATTCTAATAAAAGAGATTCGTTATTAAGAAAGGAGATAAAAAAATCTACAAAGAAATAAAAGCAACAAATTATTTGAATTACGATTGTTTCTCTAAAAATTTAACTTAAAGGGTTACAAATAATAATTAAGAAATCATAACAAAACAGTTGATTGGATCACATATACGCTTTTATGCAATTATGTAAATTATATAATAAAGAGTAAAATATGATAGAACAATTTGTGGTCAAAATGAGTGAGACAAATTTTTTTAAAAAATTGAAATTGTTTGATTCAATTATCAACATCAATTTGATACTTGTTGATAACCAAAAGCAAGAAAAAAGTAATAAGTTGAAATTAAAAAATCGAATGAGAAGAGATAAAACATGAGTAACTGAATGATATTGTTTGACTCAAGATAGTTTGCTTATTTCTTATTTATCCTTCTTCTATTCTTATTTATAAATTAAATATGCTCTTGTCAACTATGATTCATAATGATTTCTGCCACTTTTTATTTTTTTTTAATGGAGGATTCTTAACAAACAAATTCTTCTCCAATCTACTTACTTTAGATATGTGATTAACATTTATTACGAATAGATATCTAAATAGCCTTTACTAATCTAAAATCAATTTCATTTTCCTCCCTCTCATAGGAGTTGGCACTAATTGACTTGTGAAAAAATAAATTGAATTGCATGCATGTTTTAATAAATTTTTTATATTTTATTAAGTACTTAATATTTATTAATTAATAATAACACAATCTTCTTCTAATGGAAATATAAATTCACAATTTAATCACGTGAATAAACGGAATTAACCACAATCCAATAGACTCTAAAAAAAAAATTACCACATCTTTTAGTTCTCTAATTTAAAAAGTATATAATACAAAACAGAATATAATTAAAATTCTTGCTAGAGAACGAAATAATGTTTTTGTTTTTCCAACAGAAATTCTTCGCCCCCATCACTTTCCGTGTACTTGTTTTAACCCACAAAAAAATTGTTCATGCATACCAAATAGTTGGCAAAGCTGCGAACTTCCCACGTGTAAAGGTTACACGTGTCGACCAGTGGGACGTACACTTGTACGTAACATAGAAATGGGAGTTGGACTACTGTCAGGTAACCGAGCTGTTACTTTATAAATGTCGACATTATTTGCCATCATCATGACACTAGCTCGAAAACTGAAAGTGGGATTAACCTTTTTCCTCCGCAGACAAAAACCAGTTGCAGAAAAGTAGCAAATTTTTTTTTTGCTTTTGCTTTATATAAGTGATTATCTAGTGTTCCATTATATACAACTCCCACCAAAACAAAACTGTTTTCTTTTTTCTTTTTTCTTTTTTTCTCCCCTCATCGTGTGGATTTTTATATATAATTCTCCACAAATCAATGGCTGTTAATCTGTTGCTGCATTCGAAATGGATCAACCATGAGGTACTGAAAGCTTCTGCTCGCCCAATCATCAGAGATATGGAAATATAAAAAATCTTGCTTTCTCTACTTGCTACATATATATATATATATGAGCACAGTAGCAGTTTTGCCATTTACAATTTCTCATTGACATTTTGCTCGCATGGCTGGAAGGCAGAAACAAAAAGGACTTGGCAACTCATGTGTTCTTCTTATAGGTAATCATTTATGTCTTTACTCAGGAAACATTCAACCGTAAATTATATACTTCTATATACATAATATATTTTCTTTTAATTATGAAAAAACCCATTTTTTTATTACTCTCCTGATTTTTGCCATTTCAATAAATTGGGTAAGTCTCTCATCTCTCTCTCTCTCTCTCTCTCTCTCTCTATATATATATATATATGTATATACATTAATGTCTGAATGAAGTTGTTCGAAAGTATTTATAACATTAATTTGTTTGTATATATATATATATATATACAGTGGTAGCTGGCATGGAGAGATTTGCATTCAAGGGAGTAGCATCGAATCTGGTGACATATCTCACTGACATTGTTGACATGAGCAACTCCTCTGCAGCCAAAACGGTGAACAGTTGGTGTGGATTCACATCTATGTTGCCTTTGCTGGTGGCACCTCTTGCTGATTCTTACTGGGATCGTTATTCTACCATTCTCGCCTCTTCGTTTCTATATGTTGTGGTAATAATCACTCTTTTTTTTTTTTCTTTTTTTTTTCTGTATTCGTGCTAATTATATAAAGGTATAATATATATATATATATATATATATATAGTGTTTATTTTATGCACTCGAGATTTGTTTGGGTAAGACCCATTTAACTTTTTTTGGAGTTTTTTAATAGCTTTAATTTAATTAGGTACATATGTCCCAGATATTGGAAAGGAAGATGATATGAAGTGGGCTACTTGGCTTTCAATTAATTAAAAATATATCTGTTTTACTTTTTATTTTTTCCTTTTTTAATAATCATCAAGTTTGCAAAGCAGGATCCTTGATTAATCTGTTCAGTCTTTCTTTTTAATTTGCTGTTTGATGCATCACCTGTGACATGGGTCAGGGCTAACATGGTGGGCGCTGAGTCATTTCCACTCGTTTTTGTTATCTTACGAGAGTCACAATTTTGAAACAATTAAAACATTTTGCTTTATGGGCTCATTAGAAAACAAAAGTATTAGTCCAAGATTAACACTAATGCCGTCTTTTCTTTAAATTCTTGTTTCTGGGTTGTTCTGATTATAAATGTTACTGGTGAATCTAAGTAATCTTCAAAAGAAAAAAAGAAAAAAAAATTTGTGGTCATTAATGATTAGAAGGTTAAAAGAAGAGCGTAAATGTAAAGAGATAGAGATTGTAATTTGCTTTTATGGAGTCTAGATGGACAGTATCAATATCATTGAAACTTTATACTCAAGATAAACTTTTGGGTATTCCATGTTCATGATTGTCACAGTAAAGTTGAAAAGAAAAAAAAAAGAAAGATTTCATAGGCACACTGAATATTCTTGTTTAGTGAGTTTCTTACAGTAATAAATCCTGGTTTGTGACTCATGAATTCAGTTTCATTTTTTGTTCCTCTTTTTTCTTCTTAAAGGGACTTGTGGCTGTAACATCAACAGCATTAGCTCGGGCATGGTCTCCTTCAAACAGCAAAATCTCTTCTTCATTTCTGTTTTGGTCTCTATGTTTGATTTCACTAGGCCAAGGAGGATATAACCCATCACTACAAGCCTTCGGAACAGACCAACTCGATAACGATGAAGAACTGCCTTCTGACACAGCTGACCAGAAGTCTACAAAGAAAAGTTTATTCTTTCAATGGTGGTATTTTGGTGTTTGTACTGGCAGCTTGTTGGGTGTCACACTCATGGCTTACATTCAAGATACATTTGGTTGGGTACTAGGATTTGCTATTCCTACAATTGCAATGATCGTATCGATTGCATTTTTCTCCTGTGGAAGCCGTATTTATGCATATAGAGCTGGTGGGAATCTCAATGTTAAGCTTTTTCAGAGACTAACTCAGGCTATCAAAGCAAGAACATCAAAACTCTTGAGTAGCAGAATCACTTTATCAGATGACAATTCTAATGTGGTGGAGCTAGAGTAAGTTTTCCTTGAATTGGGCCCCAAGGCAAGTATGGGTAAGGATTGATCTTGTGATAATCATGAGTTTCTGATGATACTTGTTGCTTGTTTATAGGCTTCAAGAGAAACCTCTTTGTCCGTCAAATTTGGTCAGCAGAAAGGACTTGGATGAGAATCCCAGCACAGAAGCATATGTACTACAAAACCTGAGAATAATAATCCGTCTTTTACCCATATGGACAATGCTCCTAATGTTTGCAGTAATTTTTCAACAACCTGCAACATTTTTTACCAAACAAGGAATGACCATGAAGAGGAACATTGGAAGCAAGTTCAAGATCCCACCTGCAACCCTACAAAGTGCTATCACTCTCTCTATAATCCTCTTAATGCCTTTATATGACAAAATTTTAATCCCAGCCACACGTTTAATAGCCCGAGACGAGAAGGGAATCACCGTGATGCAAAGAATGGGGGTAGGCATGTTTCTGTCCATCATCGCCATGGTGATAGCCGCAGTTGTTGAGACCAAGAGGCTCAAGATGAGCAAGAAAATGGGAATTCTCAATATGGAATCAGAAACAGTAAATTTAAGTATATTTTGGTTGTTGCCTCAGTACATTCTGCTGGGAATTTCAGATATTTTCACTGTTATTGGCATGCAAGAATTCTTCTACAATGAGGTTCCTGTTAAAATGAGAACAATGGGGTTTGCACTTTACACCAGTGTTTTTGGTGTGGGAAGCTTCTTGAGTGCCTTGCTTATCTCACTCATTGAACTCTTTACAAGTTCAAGAGATAGAAAAGGTTGGTTCTCTGATAACATGAGAGAAACTCGGTTAGACAAATATTACTGGCTTCTGGCAATTGCAAGTGCAGTGAGCTTGTTACTGTACATAGTTTTGTGCAAATGCTTCAAGAGTAGGAGCGATTTCGAAGATGAAAATTGTAAGTGAGCTCTTTCAAAGTTTTCTAGTTTTTCCTGTCTTGTTGATTTCATCAATGTAAATATTGATGTATTGAGCAGCAGCTTCATATAGCAGGAAACTTCAATGTTAATCAGCTTAACATGGCCATGGTCATGGAATTATCTCAGGTCTTGATTTGTAGTGTGTTTTATTAAACGTGTAATACTTGTTTACAGTCATTTGGTTGTAAATTGTGAAAGTATTGGATGTGGATGAAGGAATTGGAGATACAGAATGAAGAAACTCACTTTTTCCTCCTTTTAGACACTTAATTCATGAAATAAGTAGTACTAATAACCTTCAATCAAAAGCTATTGGATCAAAAGCTATTGGAACTCTGCAGTTAGGTATGGTACGAAAGTTGAAGAGCTTCTCCCTCACCGTCTTTCCTGAATTGGAGTTGCAGGCACCCCATAATACAAACACAATCAGGTTGAGATCCAATACCATCTTCCTTCCCCAAGCTTGAGCTCGACTCAAATTATGCTTTAAACATAGTCAGGTTATGATAATACCAATACAATCAAGTTGAGATCCAATACAATCTTCCTTCCCCAAGCTTGAGCTCGGCTCAAATTATGCTTTAAACATAGCCAGGTTATGATCACATCTTTCCTGCTTGAGTTAAGAGATAAAGACCAACATTGGATAAAAAATGACCTCCTGCACTAGCATCAATTGTAACGGCTCCGGAAATTTAAATGAAATGTATATATTAAAAATCTCAAATGCGGAAGCGTAATAAAAATTTGATTAACATCCCTTACACAATAACTAAAACATACTCAAAACATGAAAGAACAAACTAACTAAAAGAGATACTCGAAATAAAAACTATAAATATAACTATGAAGTCTTTAGGTGTCCCCTTCGCCGTCTTCCTGCGGAACGGGTTTGGGAACAATGTCTTCCTAATATGAAATGGTTAAATAAGGAATGAGCTACACCAGCCCAGTAAAGACATCACACTATCTCACCGCCACGGAAATAAAGGTGGGTAGAAAACAAAAATGATCAATGGAGCATAATCTATAACAAACTCGTTTATTAACATAAAAATCTTTACTGTCCACTTACCTCGATGAGATCCATGAAAACAACATATGAAAGCAATAACATTATCATCATCATGAAATCATATAGACTTTATAATATAACACTTACCACACCTTTGCATTTCAATCATTAAACAACATATTTTCTTCATTTACCAACCTACTAGTATCCATGGGGATCCATAGGGGGTCCCCGCTACCCGTGAACTATTAACATTACAACTTGATTCCAGGACCGTTCCCATACCTCGTCCGGTATGGGCGCCAAAACCATGAACTTCAATACCCCGTCCGGTATGAGGGTGAAACGGGCCGTCCCCATACCCCGTCCGGTATGGGCGACAAAACACATAAGGTCTCTATACCCCGTCCGGTATGAGATACCACGTTTCCGGTAGGGTTCCCTACGGACCGGGTCCGTCTACCATCTCCCAGGATATCTAGTCAGGCTGTCCACATTTTCCACTTATGAATTCACATAACCTTTTTGCCTTTTTCCTTAATCTCAATCATCCAATCATACAAAACATGTAAACCAGTAATTGACACCAAATAAGACAATACAATACCGG